GCCCTCCCTGTGGCCCCCCAAAGGCGGCGCTCGCGGAGGTGAGGCGGTGCTTCAAGTGCTCCCTTGGTGGCAGGGCCTCCCTGCCTCTCTCGCTGGCAGTCGGTCGCTGCTCGGCTTTTGGCTTTCGGCCGCCTGGGGGCTCTCTCCCAGGCTGGCCTGGCTCCTGGCGTCGGCGCAGCCTTTGCTGCAAACTTGGGCGCTCGACTTATCCGGGGTAACTCGGGTCCGGGGTAAGTCGGGCTCGGAATCCCGACAAACCAACCCGAGTTAGCCCTGACCCGAGTTACCCCTGATGATTCGGGGCTCTGGACGCCCGAGTTATCCGGGGTAACTCGGGTCCGGGGTAACTCGGGCTCGGAATCCCGAAAAACGAACCCGAGGTATCCCTGACCCGAGTTACCCCTGATGATTCGGGGCTCTGACAGACTGCGAGCTTGCCGGGCCCTGCTTCGAGCTCGGCCGACCCGCCCTGCGGAGCCCGTGCGGCCGCCCTGCCGTCCGCCGCGCCGAGGGGCCGAGCCCTGCGGAGGGGGGACGCCCGCAGCGGGCGCGGGGCCCCCCCAAGGCGGCGCTCGCCGAGGCGAGGCGGTGCCTTGGTGCTCCCACGGTGGCTGGGGCTCCCTTATTCTCCTCGCGCCGGCAGCCTGCCGCTGTTCCTGGCTCCTGCTTCTGTTGGGGGCCGTCTGGGCTCACTCCCAGGCTGGCCGTGTCGTTGCGTCCTGCCGGGCCAGCAGGCTGCGACGAGTGCGGCGGGACTGCGCTGGCCACCTCCTTGGGCCTCGCCCAGCCTGTGAGGTGCCTGCGGACTGCCGCCTGGTGGATGACACAGTTTTTGCCTCCTGCTTATCCTCCTGCTCATCCGCCACCTCCTCCTCGACTGTACGTGTCCTCCAATGTACGCAGGTTCCATTTCCTGATTGCGCACAACACGACGAGGTCCCTCTGGGAGTTCCAGGCCGCTATGAGCCATGACGCGTGTCTGCGGACAGAGAAGCAATCCGCGCAGTTGGGTGGGGTGGGGGTGGGAGGGCCAGGAGAGGGCTAGGACATCAGACATGGCGCGAACGCACGAATCAGGCCCCTCCTTTTCCTCCCTCAGAGATGTAAGAGAGCTTCCTCCCCCCCCCCACAGGTCGCTCCCTCCTCCTTTCCTCCCTCCTCCCTCCTCCTTTCCTCCCTCCTCCCTTCCTCCCTCCTCCCTCCTCCTTTCCTCTCCTCCTTCCTCCCTCCTCCCTCCTCCTTTCCTCCCTCCTCCCTCCCCGCCCCTCGCTCCCATCCCCCGAGCTCGCCGAGGCCCTGGGCCCCGACCACGCCCCTGGCGGTGCAGGGCCCCAAGAGGGGGGCGGCGACCCGCGTCCCCGAGGGCTCGCGGGCCCCCTCCCCCCCCGCCCGCCCGCCCCTTACAGCAGGAGCTCGACCACGAGAGACCTTCCACAAGAAACCCAGCCCGGACGTCCAAGGACTTTTTTTATTTTTTTTGTGTGTGTGTGTGTGTGTGTGTGTGTAATTAAGTTTCGATAATATTGTATTTATTGTGTGTGTGTGTGTGTGTGTGTGTGTGTGTGTGTGTGTGTGTGTGTGTGTGTGTGTGTGTGTGTGTGTGTGTGTGTGTGTGTGTGTGTGTGGGGGGAGCGTCACGCTCTCCGTCGCAAGACCAGCAAGCAACCCAGGACATCCAGGGTACCCTGGATGCACGCAGGGTGCCTCCTGGCATGGGCTTCCGCTGTGTGACCTGCCTGCCGAAGCCTTCTTGGCAGGCCCGCGCGAGGTGGCGATCTGCAGGCGCCGTCGGGCCACCGGCGGCCGAGGCACCCAGGCGGCCGATCCTCCTCCCTCCTCCTGCTGCCTCCCTGATCCTCCTGCTCCTCCTGCTCCTCCTTCTCCTCCTCCTCCTCCTCCTTCTCCTCCCCCTTCCTTTCCTTCTCCTCCCCTCCCCTGTCCCCTCCTTCCTCCTCCTCCTCCTCCACCTCCTTCCTCCTTCCTCCTCTCTTCCACCCTCCTCTCCTCCTCCCCTTCCCCTCCTCCTCCTCCTGACCTCCTGCCTCACTCCTCCTCCTTTCCCCTCTCTTGCCTCCTCCTACTGCTCCTCCTTCTCCGCCCTCCATCCCCTCCTCCTCCTCCTCCTCCTCCTCCTCCTCCCCCTTCCCCTCTCCCTCCTCTCTCCTCCCTCCTCCTTCCGCTCCTCCTCCTCCCCTCCTCCTCCTCCTCCTCCTCTTTCTCCTCATCTCCTTCTCCTCCTCCTCCTCCTCCTCGTGCTCCTCTCCTTCTCTTCCTTCTTCTCCTCCTGCTCTCCTCCTCCTCTCCCCATCCTCCTCCCTCCTCCTGCTTTCTCCTCCTCCCTCCTCCTGCTTTCTCCTCCTCCTTCCTCCTGCTTTCTCCTTTCCTCTTGCTGCTGCTGCTGCGTCTGTTGCTCCACCTCCTTTCTTCCTCCCCTCTCTCCTTGTCCTTCTGCTCCTCCGTCCTCGCCCCTGTCCCCTTCCTGTTGCTGCTCCTCCGCCTGCATCTCCCGATCTCCGTCCTTCTCCCCCTCGCCTAAGATGATTGGCTTGATGAATTCCCCCTCCTCCCCCATCGATGTCCCCCTACCCTCCCTCCCTCCCTGTCCTTCTCGTCCTCCCCGTCCCCTTTCCCCTACTTGCCTCCCCCTCCCCTTTCCCCTACTTGCCTCCCCCTCGCTCCCCTTCCGACTGTCTTCTCCTGCCTCCTCCTATTCCTTCTGCCTCGTCCTGCCTCATCCACAGGCCGAGGCGCCCACTCAGAGTCCATCGTGGAGAAACTCTACAACCTAAAGATCTGGCATCGCAAAAGGATGTCGGCAGAGAGCCAGGCGGTATGACGATGGCGATGCTGCGATCATGCAGAGGGGTAGGAGGACGCAGACCGACGAGGTACCAGAAGCTGGAAACACACACGTGGCTGCACCCACATGTGGAACATCTGGGGGCCACGCGCTGGATACACATGCGGAAGGCCGGCGTGCCTGGAGGGACGAGCGCCGGAAAGACGTGCGGCCGCATGTCTATCCAGATCACAACCAGGCCGGCCGCGCCACGCGTATCCAACCTCCTTCCTGGTGCAGCCGTGCTCTACAACACGCCACCCTGACGAGGTCCTCTGCCGCGCCCTTCAAGTTGAGCCTGTGGACCTCCCCGAGGACGCCGATCCCACCGGCGCCGCCAGAAGGTCCAGCGGCATGCTTCTTGGCTGACTCGAGCTCGGCTTCGAGCTTGGCGATCTCGACATTCGTCTCCATACGTTCGATTAAAACAATTAATGGGCACACTCTCTCTCTCTCTCTCTTTATATATATCTTTCTCTCTCTCTCTCTCTCCCCAAGTTCAAAATTAGCACGCGCGAGGAAGACTCTGGTCGAAGGGCATATCATCAGAGCCACCGCCGACTTGGGAGGCGATGTGAGGATAGCGTTGACGGACGAATGTGGTACGCGTGTTCGCTGAATAGCTTTGCCCGAGGCATGTATGTCTAGAAGAAAAACTATAAACATAAACTTTTGGAGCTCTGCGAGGCTTTCTTGGATCTGCGTCTGGTTCCCTGTTCCCTGGCGCGCGGAGCAGCGGCGCAGGAGGCGTCGCCGGGAGGGGGCCCAGCGCAGATCCAAGAAAACCGCGCGGAGCGCCACAAGCTTATGTAATGGCACTTTGTCTTCTTCGAACGTTCACGTTGCAGGTCTCCTCCCCGGAAATCCTGCCGGGAGACCGTCAAGGGCGGCCGCGTGCGGCAGCAGCGCGCGGTACTGCGCCAGCAGGCTCGCGCTGCCGCGGCGCCCGCAGTGTGCCTGCGACGGCCCGTCCCATCCCCGCCCGTGCGCGTGCGGCTCGTGGCACAGGAGCGCGTGAGAGTGGTTCACCTCCGCAGGGCTCGGGGATCTCCTCCTCCTCCTCCTCCTCCCCTGTACTCCCCCTCCTCCTCCCCCTCCTCCTCCTCCACTCCTCCTCCTCCTCCCCTCCCTCCTCCTCCTCCTCCTCTCCTCCTCCTCCTCCTCCTCCTCCTCCTCCTCCTCCTCCTCCTCCTCCTCCTCCTCCTCCTCCCCTCCTCCTCCTCCTCCTCCTCCTCCTCCTCCTCCTCCCCTCCTCCTCCCCTCCTCCTCCTTCCCTCCTCCCCTCCCCCTCCTCCCCTCTCCCTCCTCCCCTCTCCTCCTCCTCCTCCTCCTCCTCCTACCTCCTCTCTCTCCTCCTCCTCCTCCTCCTCCCTCCTCCTCCTCCTCCTCCTCCTCCTCCTCCTCCTCCTCCTCCTCCTCTTCCTCCTCCCTGAGATCTGGGCGTCGCACTTCTTTCTGGACGACGACCACCACCACCATCACCACGACGACCACCACGACGACGACGACGACCCCCGGGGCGCTGCCGCCCCTCTCAAAGACCCTAGGGCCATCACGGACCGATACGGCCCAGAAAATGCAGCAAAATGATGGGGTCCAAGGCTCTGGTCGTCATTTTTCACGACGTTGCACTTCGTTGGGCGCCGGACCTCAGGGTCTGGGGTTGGTAAAGGTGCCCTTGGCGCAGGGTGCCGTGCCCCCAGCTGTCCGCAGAATTTGGGAACCTCTGGGGCCCTCTGCGCCTCGCGAGGGGTGCTCTGGAGTCCTTGGAGGCCTTGGACCAGGGGCACTTCTAGCAACACCCGACACCTGCCGTCGCTCGGACGTCCGTTTCCAATGCGGTTTTCGGTTTCGTGCGCTTTTTTTTTCGCTTGATGATCCAGGATGCCCTTCGATGGTCCAGGCCTAAAATTGAGGGATGAAAAAAAACGACCCTACCCTGGGTTACAAGTGCGTGGTCTGTAAACCTCCTGGGAGCCCCCAGAGCCTGGAGACGCCAGGACGCGGCACATCACGCAGGGCTTACCCCGTCGGCCCACAGGAGTTTCAGCGCACAGCGCCTCGTAAACCAGGGTAGGGTTTTTGATTTATGCACTTGATAGATAAACAAAAAAACGCACGCGTCGGAGCGATGCCACGCGACAGGCATCGAGGGCTGCGGACGCCGTTTCCTGGCTGCGGCCTCCGGAGGCCCGTCTCGGGCTCAAGGGGCCCGCCGGTGAACCAGCCTGGGGCGACGCGTATAAGCAGGGCAGCTCCCAAGACCAGCCCTGAGCGAATCTTTGGACGGGAGGAGGAGGGATGCGGAGGAGGAGGAGGAGGAGGAGGAGGAGGAGGAGGAGGAGGAGGTGGAGGAGGACCAGGAGGAGGAGGAGGAGGAGGAGAGAGGAGGAGGAGGAGGAGGAGGAGGGATGAGGAGGAGGAGGAGGAGGAGGCCCAGCGTCTTAGAAGAGGAATCCGTGGTGACCGCCGCTACCGCAGCGGCAAAACGAGCTCGGAGCTTAGCCAGGCGCCGCGCGCAGGATCAACTTCAGCGGCTGTGCGTGAAATGATCGTCGCCTTTCTGCGCTGCCACGCGGGCCATGCGATGGAACTGACATAACACCACTGCTCCCCTCAACGACCCAACGGCTTCCCCATCAGGGCCAAGGCGAGCCAACGGGTCTTCTGAGAGAGGCAGGCCAGAGACACGACTGAGGGCAGAACGGCGCGGCGGACACCCCGCGAAACACTGCCTCAAGGAGTCCCACCGTCCGGCGCCTCCACATCCGAAAGGAGGGAGGAGGGAGGAGGAGGAGGAGGAGGAGGAGGAGGAGGAGGAGGAGGAGGAGGAGGAGGAGGAGGAGGAGGAGGAGGAGGAGGAGGAGGAGGAGACCATGTGAGGCCCACGCGGGGGTGCTGGTCGCCCCACCCCCCCCGTCCAGGGCCGCATGGCCTCCGCGCGCCATAAAGGCGGCGCCCGCGGGAACGCCTCACAAATGCGCCCCAGGAGAAGTTGAGGAGACGTCCGGGGGGGGGGGATGGGGGCCATTTGCGCACCCTGGTGACGACGACGGGGCCCCGCGAGGAGGACAGGGAGGAGGGGAAGGTTGATTTTTTCTCTTAGTCACAGTGCGAGAGTGAACAAGGACAGCGAGAACGCGTGGAAAGCAGCAGCAAAAGCAGGAAGAAGGAAGCAGGCGGCAGGGAGAAAGGGGAGGAGCAGAGAGCAGCAGGGAGAGAGGCAGGACAGCGAGGGAGGAGGGGAAGGTGGAGGTGAGGGAGGCCTGCACGTGGGCGATGGAGCTTTTCTGTCTTCCCTGGCTGGGCGGCTTCGGCAGCAGCTGCGGCGTGGAGCAAGGCCACGGACGTCCCGCGCCTCCACGCTGGCGCTTCGCGCCGCTCGTCGTAAGTCGGGCGTGTCCCCCTACAGAGGGATTTTCGACGAAAACTAACAGAGACCCCCAAATGGTCAAACAAATACAACAAAATCCACGGACTACTTTTTGACTATTTTTGAAGATTCCCCCCGTAGAGGGACAAGCCCGACTTAACGCTCATCCCGGGCAGCGCCCCGCTCGGAGAGTACCGGGCAGTCCCTGATGCCGTCGAGCAGCCGCGGCGCCCCTCGGGCGCCAAGAGAAGGAGGGCTTCAGTGACAGGGGGAAGATGATCATCATTTCCGCGCAGCCGCGGCACGTGGTTATCTCCATGAATGTGCTCAACCTTTTGGCCAACAGCTTCGCGGCCTCGGTTGTCATGACGTCCTCCGTGGAGTGCGCGAAGAGCACAGAAAAGATTGTTTTGGGAATTTCAAATTCCATCACAGTCTGCTGGGGTCGACTGTATGTTTGGAGAAGCTAGGATGACAGGTCTGATTGTACGCAATGGACTTACGTGTGGTGGATATCGCACAAATTTGGGAACACACTCCAGCATGCACTCCACGGCAACGGACCTGTTGAAAGCCGTGGGTCGGGCGCTGCGAACTTCAATCTCAGGAAGAGGATGGCGAAGCTGGCCACTCCAGCATCCGCGTCAGCCAAGGTGATTGGTATCCTGGAAACCAAAGGAAAGACGAATGCGCAGCAGATCTACGATCACCTGCGTAGCATCTCGAAGGGGAAGATGGCGTAGGTCGCACAGAAGGAAGCCTCGGAAGTCTTCAAACTCGTCATGGCATGGCTGAAGGATCGACCGCTCGGCTCCAAGCCACCTGCGAGCGAGACCTCCACCAAGCTGGAGAATGAGAATACTAATAATAACTGAATACGCCCAGAGGCCAGCCAGACTGGTTGGCTATCTACTACTATGTTGGACGATTCAGAATGGGCGATACCTACTTGTCGCGGGCTTCCCGCGAACTACGACGACATGCAGAGAGTTCATCTTGTCACGACCACAGAGCTCCAGCAGTTGTGCAATGTTGATTCTTTTTGGCTACGACCTGACCCCCCACAGAATGCGTTTCGTATTGGCTCAGGCCCCAGAAGGTATATCCAAAGATCTGGTGTTGTTGGTTGTGCAACGTGGCCTTGCCAAACTCACCAAGCTCTTAGACGCCCCTCTCGTTCGCGGAGGTGGCCGACGGGAGATGCGCAATTTATTTGCATGGCAGTTCGGTGGTCCCAGAATGCAGTTGCACAGCCAACACGGGCGCCTACTAAAATCCAGCGCGAAGCTGAAGTCCTCAAAAGCGTAGCGATACTTGAGGAACGCTGCGCGGAACAGCTATCCAAATATATGTACAAGCTCCACAAACAAGCGAAAGCGGCTCGAGGTCAAAGAGCCGAACGTTCATCCGAGAAGAAGAAGAAGAAGTATCATGCGACCCATCCCTGGCGCGTGCTGGACGAGGAGATGGCAAGCATAGTGACAGCACGCACTTCTCCTGCGGTGGATGCCGAACTCAGGTGTTGCAGTGGGCGGATCTTCCATGAACACGAAGTTGGACATCGAGTCATCTCAGCAATAGTTCGCCGACCCGCTGTTCATGCCGAGCAACTTCGCCGCGCCTGTGGCCGCGGCGGCGTTTTCTTCCAACGCTCCAACGTCGGCGGGGGCGGCGCAGCTCTGCAGGAGGAGAAGGCGGAAGAAGCATTCGTTCCCTTCGCCAAGCACACCTCACTCGCGGAGGCGATCGAGCCCAGCAAGAACTTAGATGGAGCCTGCGAGCTGGGATATGATTTCAAACCGTTGGCTCTATTCTTTCGAGTGCAGACGGCCAAGGCAACCGCGGCCTGACAGCACGTTCAACAGCGGGCTCTTCCCGCAGCGACCATCTTCGAGATCGGCCCGCTCCCAGAGTTGACTGATGGAAGGTCGCTATGCCAGCGACTGGGCACACATATGGGGATGGGCGGCAGAATGTCTTGCAGTTCGTCACAAAAGGTGCTGGGCAAACACGAGCTCCTGCAGTCCAAATGCGCGCTGGTGCTCCCCCAGCTAGCAGAGACATCAGCATGGGCGGCAAGCGTGCAACTCTCAATCCGAAGATGGCGAAGCAAGAAGAGACTGTGGAAGCCCCATCGTGGACAGCCATGGTCACGAAGTATATGTCACCAGCAAGTTCGAGCCCAACAGCTACTGCTCCTGTGCAGAAGGCCAGGTTCACTGCACAGCTGACTCGTCCCACGCCCATTCCCTCTGCGGAATCAATCGACGTGAAGATGAACGAGCCTGACCACAGTGCAGCACAGCCTCAACCACAACCAGCGGGCTCGGGCTTATCACCAGACTTTCGCCAATTCCTGCCAGAAGCGACCCAAGCAGGTGCCGCGGCAAATCAAAACCAATCATTGAGCAACTACATCTCCAAGGCCACGGCGTCGCCAAGTGCATGGACGTCATTGTGAATGGCGGTCATTGTGCGGAGCTTGAGGTAGCAGCCAAAGAAGCTGAATCCCTCTCTAGCAATTCAATCGAAGCCATGATGCCCGAGTACGGGGCAAGCAGCCGCCACCTCCTGTGGCGGCATCTCCTGGAAGGACTCCTACCTTGGCAACGATTCTCGCAGCAAGTGTTACTTCCTGGAACTCGTTCGCCGGCCG